GTGAATAGATGTGTATGATGAACCATCGCCAGGTTAGTCCTGATGAGCTGTCACCCACTTGTAAAATTTACAATCTTCATTTACTGTAAGTTGAAATTGATCCTGAAATGGGGAGGACTGCGTGGTGACAGTGCAGCCCGTCCTCTTAAGGCTCCCCAACGCCAAAAAACTGTCGTACTAACGTTTAAGGGTGATCCTGAGCGGCATGGGTTCGAATCCTGGCCTTGTCATGTAGTTTTTTTAGTCTGACAGCCGAGTGGACAGCGCTGGGGATTCGTAATTCTAGGGTCCGGGGATCGATCCCCGACGAAGGCGGAAACAAATGGGCAGAGTTTCTTTCATACTGATGCCCCTGGTTTACCTAGCAGTAAATAGGTACCTGGAAGTTAGACAACTGCTACAGGCATATTATATATAATATACACACACATATGTACAGGCCTGGCCGCGCTACACGCCCTCACCCACCACGCCAACACCACCCTCCGCGCCCACCTGCTGGACCACCGCCTGCACCACGCCCACGCCGCCTACACCGTTTTCAGGTATTATACTCTCCCAGATACATTCCCAGCAGGTGTTGCGTCGCACGTGTCTGTCACCTGCACCGCCTTCAGGAGGCTGTGCCTCTTTGTCTGTGGGGGTGGGTGTTAGTGTAGTGTAGGGTTCGGGGTTAGAGGAGTGGGGGGGTCTGAGTTAGAGGAGTGTGTCGGTAGGGTTTAGGAGAGTGTGGGGCCCGGGTTTAGAGGAGTGTGGGGTGGAGATCAGCAGTGGGAGGAGAGCAAAGGACAGTGATACCCGCTTCCTGTGCCTCCCACCACCATGTCTCTTCAACACGCTCTGACAACTCTTCCGCATCACTTCCCACCCACACCCACGCTCACACCCACTCCCACACTCACACCCACACAAACCACAAAAAGACCATCCTATATCAGACCAATCCTGGAGCATTAGTCTATATCTAGTCATGCACAAGGCTAAATTGGAGAAGGTTCAGAGGTGTGCCACCAGACTAGTACCCGAGCTGAGGGGTATGAGCTACGAGAAGAGACTACACGAACTAAACCTCACGCGCTGGAGATCAGAAGAGTTAGGGGAGACATGATCACCAAATACAAGACTCTCAGAGGAATTGATAAGGTAGATAAAGACAACACAACACAATAAATATCAAATGATAATCATGAACAGTACACAGGCCTCACTTTAAATACTTGAAAGTTCCAAATGCCCTTGCTGGGACTAGAACCTCCTCTGCGTGATCAATTCAGGAACCTAAACTTATTCAGGTTTATCATTTGATATTGCATGTTCTGTAGCTTAAACTTGGACTAGATGAAATAGTTGACCACATAACCCGAATGCACTCGGGCATGGGGTTGAATGAGTTCATAAAGACTTTCCCATGCTTTTGTAGTGTGATACAGTGGTACAGCACTTGGCTTTGGGATTGGGAGGGATTAAAGTCATGTGTAGGAATTTATGAAGAAACGAGGTGTATGTGGACATGAGGCCGCCTGCTGGGTTAACAAAAATATAACCCAATGTTTTGACAATAGACTAGAGACACGATTGATACCAGGGATATGATTCATGTTTTTAAACCTGATCATTCTTAGTGGAGTAGGACTAAACTATGGAGCTTCTCCGTGGCTGGATGCCGGCTTGTAGTGCTCTTGACACTGTTGCCGCGCCATCTGCGAATGCTTCACAGTCACAAGCTCACATATTTCTCCGGCAGTGTTGGTGGACCGGAGGACCAGTACCGCTTGCACGTAGATGGCTATGACCCCTCGAGCACGGCCGGCGACGCCCTCTCTCCACACTCCAGGGCAATCTTTACCTCCCCGGAGCCTTCCTCAGGTGATCAGCGCCAGGCCAAGTGTCTCGTGTTTTAATTGCTGCATTATAGTGGCCTTGTCTGCTTGGAATATGCAAGAAATACGTTTATTGTTTATATAAGGTGCTGAAAATTGTTCATTTTACAGATTAGTACTACCCATGCAAAACAATGATACATAAAATTATTCTAGCATCAACATACGTTGATTGACATCTCATTAACGCGCCTTAGGTGACAGGTGTAGTGATGACCTGGATGCCGGCTGGTGGTTCATCGAAGCTCCAGACTGTCACCTCACACTTCCCACGGGCCGGTATCAGCACCATCCTGACGAGTACCAGCGCACCGGAGGTGTGGAGTGGCGACCCTGGAGAGGTTCAGGTTACTCCCTACACACACTTCTCCTCATGATCCGTAGGGGTCCATGATCGGGTTTGACCATGTGTGTGATAATATCATGGCCCAGTGTGACCCCCGAGTCCCCAAATGGAATCTCTGTATGGTGTCGCAATGCCTAACCCAGTTGCCTAACATTATAACTCTACGGGATGCATCGGTTCATATTTCTTAATTCGCATTTTCGGTGATGATTCATGTTTCTCAACCCGCATTCCCTGTGATACTAATTTGTACAAGTCAACCGCTTCCGTACACTTAATGCATCAGTAAAGGGCATGAGATATTCCCACAATTTCCATTTTCATTATGTACAATTTGAAACCCTGTTGGTTGCCAAGCTTGACGCCTATTCTCTTAAAATTAATGTACTTACAGTAGATATTTAGTCGAAAGAACCAATATGTAGTCATGGGACATCACAAATTTGACTTGTATTATTGAATTTAAACAATTGGGAAACTTTTTAACGGCAACATACATATAGACCTAACCTAATTTCTCTTAGCAATCCTAGGCTTATTACACACTCTCTTATGCCTAATATAGTACATATGAGCTTTACTAGGCCTAGAAATATTTTAGTTTGGTTTTTAGCTTTATTTTTTTCCGGTCACTATAAAATTTAGAGTACAAAATGTTAGCTCTTTTGATAGCCCATCAATACATACTGGTACTTTCGACCAAACAGTTACCATAAGGACTATCAGTTCAGGATGCTGGGTTGTACCTTGATGATCTGCTTATTGCATTTTGGGGTTTTCTTTGAACGTGAGAAAAGCTATCGCTATTATACCAAACACATTGTCAACATTTATTGCGGAAGATAATCCAATTGGAAGAGCGGATATGATATCAATAAATAGAGATTAAGAATAAAGTTGTGTTCCATACACTTCCTTTGGGAACTCCCTCGTGGTGTTTTTGTATTAACACATTTAGGTACATCTGCATTTCTGCAGCTGCCCTAGACAATATGAAGGGGAGTACAGTGTGTTAAAACACTAGCTACATGATGCTAAAAATCCCCATCACACAGGATGGTTACTCATACAGAGGCATGTGATAAATAGTCTGCCTGGAAAACTCTGGGTGCATCATGAGGACATGATCGTGTTGACGGGAGAACGGTCGGTTGGCTCCTGCCCATGATGTCAACATTCCTACAAGACCACTGCAAGTTACCATACCTTACCTTGCGTGTTGCTTCTCAAGTCCAAATTATTCAATTTAACCTCTGATATTTCCACGTGGCGTCATGCGCTTCTTCAAGGTCCAAAGACTATCGATGTTACTGATTTATCTTAGTACCATTTCTGATTATATACTTTCGTGTCTTTGATGATATCTGTCGTGCGTTTGGCGTTTGCTGGGTACTTCCAAGGCGTGTGCCTGGGAGTACCCAGATCATTCGTTCGAATCCTCATTACGGCTCCAACTGATTTTCTCATTGATACATCACGTTAATGTGATTTCTCTGTGCAATAATTATAATAATAATAATAATAATAAGTTTTTTTTAAATATATTGATCATGCGTTCTAAAAATGTCCATACAATTGTTGTTGATTTAAGTTTGTGAGTAGTGTGTTGATTTAAGTATGCGAGTAGTGTGTTGATAATGAAGATTTAATTTAAGTCTGTTAGTATAGAGAGCTGTGAGTCTATGGACTACCTTATCTTGAGGAGGTTCTGAGGATCAATGATCTGACTAAGCAGGTCGTCAGATGTCGATGTATGCAGTCTGAGAATGAATCACAGCCAGGGTTATCAGGAAGCATTTTGAAGTGTTGATCAATTTCCTTCTTGAACGCGGAAAGACATCGGCTAACACACACACCTCTACAGTACTCTACATGTACTATCAATAAAACTGTATAAAACTGACTGTATAGCTATTTAATAACAAAAAAATATACACATATTACTATACATATACCATTCAATATTCGCGATAATAAAGAAAAATAAAGTAAAACATGAAATGCATATTCATCAACCCATCCTCCTGTTCAGATAGTACTTTTTGTAAATATGTGGACTATCATACATAGACGTAATCGAGAATTAGATAGTACAATTTGGTACTATTCACTTTATAGTGTCAGAAAAAAAATAGAGCTAAAGACCAAACTTAAATATTCCTAGGCCTAGTAGAGGACATACATGTACTATATTAGGCTTCAGATAACGTGTATTAGGCATAGGAACGTTAGGTTAGATTTTCTTTGCAACAAACCAGAAACTTTTTTGGTTGTCCAAATTCAATATTACCGATTTCTACTTTATGATTGTCTTTTACGTCAGTGTATGTACGATGGTCCTCACCGTTAATGTAAGTACTACAGGAGGATGGGTTGTTACACACACACATATTATTATATATTATATATATTATTATATATTATATATATAATATATATCAATATAATATATATCTCCACATGTGAAAAATTGAATATTCTATTTTTAATAAAATAAAATATTTTTTTATTTTATTTATGTTTAATGAAATAAAAATAAAATATTCTCTATTTTTCAACCACATGTGAAAAATAGAGAATACTAAACGCGTTTTCGGCTCAATTCGCCTTCATCAGAGCCTTTTAGAATGATTCTAAAATGATCTGATGAAGGCGAATCGAGCTGAAAACGCGTTTAGCATTCTCTGTTTTTCACATGTGGTTTTTCCGTGTGTGTATGTATATGTATATATTATATATATATATATATATATATATATATATATATATATATATATATATATATATATATATATATATAAACGGTACATTATAGGTTAAACATGGTAGTCTGCGATACCCGTTAACGGAAGTTAACACATATCACAACAATAACAATATTTTGATATTTGGATGAGATAAGGAACACACTACACGTACTTTACATGTGAGGAGGGGGGGGACCGCTCCACACCCCCCAGTGTGGGTGGTGTGGGCCACGTCATACCCCACAGTGTGGGTGGTGTAGCTACGTCATACCCCCCACAGTGTGGGTGGTGTGGGCCATGTCATACCCCACAGTGTGGGTGGTGTGGGCCATGTCATACCCCACAGTGTGGGCCACGTCATACCCCCCACAGTGTGGGTGGTGTGGGCCACGTCATACCCCACAGTGTGGGTGGTGTGGGCCATGTCATACCCCACAGTGTGGGCCACGTCATACCCCCCACAGTGTGGGTGGTGTGGGCCACGTCATACCCCACAGTGTGGGCCACGTCATACCCCCCACAGTGTGGGTGGTGTGGGCCACGTCATACCACCCACAGTGTGGGTGGTGTGGGCACGTCATACCACCCACAGTGTGGGTGGTGTGGGCCACGTCATACCACCCACAGTGTGGGTGGTGTGGCCACGTCATACCCCCCACAGTGTGGGCCACGTCATACCACCCACAGTGTGGGTGGTGTGGGCCACGTCATACCCCCCACAGTGTGGGTGGTGTGGCCACGTCATACCCCCCACAGTGTAGCTGGTGTGGCCACGTCACACCACACAATATCTCCTTCGGAAGCGAAAGGTTTCCAAAGATTTACAGAAACTCTTGGTTCTGGCATCAATATATCGACACGATTAATTTGATTATAAACATGTTACACAAAATGTTATATACATGACCCTTGGTGTGGTATTCCTTAGCTACTAGTGAAAAGTGGTGCTGCACAGGACTCGTCTCACTCGTCAGAGGAGGTGAAGGATGGTGCTGCACAGGACTCGTCAGAGGAAAGACTGAGATCACAGATATCTCACACACACCTTTGTATTGCAGAATCCTGGCTACTCTAACTCCATTATAATGCAAGACTCTTTGGTGGAGCTCCAAGTAGCGGTGAGGAGACTAGGTAGACAACAAATCTTATGCTAGGTGTATCATCTTAGGAATTACGCGGCGAAAACGTTTTCAGCACATGTATTGTTCAGTTTGGCGAGTTCACTACGAACACGGATTGTTTTGGCGAAGACTGAAGATTTGTCCAACCTGGGCGTGTTTGTGCCACTTAGCAAGTAATGTCTCCTTTACACACTCGCACACTTCACCTTCCCGGTGCTGGCTACTGCAGAAGGACACCTTGGTGCGCATTCCATAGTAATCTCTCCTGAGGGCACCGCTGCTCGTCTTCTACAAGAATATACCACTACATCAAAGGGCGGAACCATTCAGTAATGTTTCATGTTCCGCCATGAAAAAACAGCAATTCCTAATACGAAATGTCTAGAAATTCTATCGACAAAGTGTGAATCAGATACTAGATAGCACCAGGACACAGGGCAGGGTTCACTGGTACTCTTTGTACCACCACTACACCCAACTCAATTTACTCCTCAACTTTGGACTGACATACTTTCAAGATGTCAGTTACGCCCAGCTGGTACATGTTCGGGGCTTCCTCTGGCCGGCGCTGCGGAATACCAGACTTCTCTGGCAATTGTCCCAGGCCAGCGCTGTATGAACTGTCTGGCCCTGTGGTTGTTCTGTGTTGGCATGAAGCGGGGACTTCACAGTGACGCAGGTCGTGTGGGCTCTCAAGGCCTGGCTGGCAGCTGCTGGGCTTCCACTTGACCTCTGAAATGACAGAAATGACCGGGTTGTCGACTCCCTCCAGGCTGCTGCTGGAGTCGTCGCTCTCCGCCAAGATTTCTAACACAGGCGAGGTTCCTGCAACAAGCCCACATGTTGATTGCTAGTGCAGTGTGGTATAGCGCATATATTACTCGAGACATTATTCCTATAACCTCCATGCAATAATGTTATAATTATATCAAGTAGTATGGCTTTAAAATATATACAAGGACTGACGTTTAGAATAATACAATACAAAAATAAATCGTTTATATAACAACTATTTCATAAGTTAATACCGCTAGCCTGAATAAAGGCTTGACTGTCTGTAGTGTCACGGAATGTGTGAATAATTTTAAGAGGTTTAGAGATAAGTATTACTAAGATTAAAAAAAACGTATAAATTCTTCATTCAAAATTATTATATACTACCATAAATTTTAAGCGATACATCAATCGTTAGCCTAGTTGCGGTAGGACATACTCGTGGCAGGATAGATATGGGGTGCATGATCGTGAAGCTCAAGTCAACCAGCTTGTTAGTGTCAACAGTGATGAAATTATGTGAGAACTCTTAGTAAGTCATCAAATTGAAGAAAAAATTGGCAAGCCGCTGTCTTCCTGTCCTACCCGAGGCCACTAGAGAAATAGTTGCCCTTAAGTAAATTAAGGTAAATTCAGTTTGGAATATGTTGTCCGGCAAAGGACAACATATATACAAATACTGTTTATCTATATCACTTTATGACTTGTATTCCAGGTTTTACAGAAAATTAGGATCACTACAGTGACTGGATGATTACATTACTTGCTTACGTGTCTCCCTGTTCCTGGCACTCTCCCTGGCCCTGTCCCTGGGACTATCCCCGGGACTATCCCCAGGACTGTCCCTGGCACTATCCCCGGGACTGCCTTGGGAACTGTCCGCAAGTCTATTTCTCACTAGAAAAAAAAGGATGACTAAACATGTAATTTCTCAAGACAAAAGCTGGGACATCCTTACCATGTCTTTGTCCAATTTTGACGTTCCTGAGGGTGATGGTGACGAAGATGCCCAGGACGCAGGCGGAGCCGCAAGCGAAGGTAATGACACTGCGGTAGTACCACGACCTGCGGGAAGAGAGCATCGCAGGTTAGTGCTTGACTTTGGAAGTAGTGATGAAATTTGGAAATACTCGCTCTTGAAGCCGTCGAGGCAAGAACAGGGCTCAATTTTCAAATAAATTATCGAATAACCTTAATTTAACGTGTTAATTAAATGTTGTTTATCAATAAGTGTAAATTAGATTTTAAGGATTTTTATCCTCTTGATCCCCATAGCCGACATCTTGACGTGATGGTGGGGCTTGAGTGTTTAATTTCTTGTCCAGCAGGCCTTGGGGGCATCTGGAAGGGTCTCCCAGGCTTGACCAACTGCTGAGGAAGAAGCCAGACTCAGTAGTGGCAACCAAGACACTGGCCGGGGAGCGCGACGCACACGAGGGAGTCGGCCTTGTGGCTACCCCGGCCCCTATTCCAGGGAGGTCTCTTCTGCGTCTTCTTCTGCCACCCCTTCTGCGTCAACTTCTGCCACCCCTTCTGCGTCTCCTGCTGCCACCCCGTCTGCGTCTCCTGCTGCCACCCCTTCTGCGTCTCCTGCTGCCACCCCTTCTGCGTCTCCAGCTGCCACCCCTTCTGCGTCTCCTGCTGCCACCCCTTCTGCGTCTCCTGCTGCCACCCCTTCTGCGTCTCCTGCTGCCACCCATTCTGCGTCTCCTGCTGCCACCCCTTCTGCGTCTCCTGCTGCCACCCCTTCTGCGTCTCCTGCTGCCACCCCTTCTGCGTCTCCTGCTGCCACCCCTTCTGCGTCTCCTGCTGCCACCCCTTCTGCGTCTCCTGCTGCCACCCCTTCTGCGTCTCCTGCTGCCACCCCTTCTGCGTCTCCTGCTGCCACCCCTTCTGCATCTCCTGCTGCCACCCCTTCTGCGTCTCCTGCTGCCACCCCTTCTGCATCTCCATGCTGTCAACCCGGCAGCCCAACTCCTCCTAAATAGCACGTTGCATACTTTACCTAAGGGCAAAAACTGATGTACTAACATGATAGTGTGTCGCGAATTTGACATGATATCCTGTTTTCTGTTCATGGGTTCTCGGGTAGGTTAGGTTCGGACAATTTTGTACCACAGTTTAGTGACGTTGGGGACCCTGCTGTGTGGTTCAAGTATGTTTATTGAGACAAGAAAGAAATACATCTCAAAGGGATAGAGTAGCTTAGGCTATTTCTACCCCCCCCCCCCACCCCCTGCTGTGTGGTGTCCGTGCACCATGCAGCAGTAGGAGACTCCCAATTTGTCTTGCTTCTCCCAGCTCCCTGTCTACCCATCCTCCCTGTCTACGCATCTTCTCTGTCTATACCCATTCTTCCTGGCTATACCCATCCTCCCTGGCTATACCCATCCTCCCTGTCCATACCCATCCTCCTTGTCCACCCCATCCTCCCTGTTTACCCCTTCCCCTATCTACTACCTCCTCACTGTTTATACCCTTCCCTTCTACCCTCCCTGTTTACACATCCCCTTTTTCGTGCCCGTGTCCGGAGGCTGAGCCCAATACTCACTGGTCTGGGTCGGAGTTCTGGATGACCATGATGATAATTCCGTTGGAGAACTTGTCTACCAGACTCATGAAGCCGTACACGAAGGCGCCGCCCTCCACGTTCTCCCCGATGAGGTCGGCGGTGATGGAGAGGGAGGTGATGAGGAGTGTGGAACCCCCGATCCCCAGCAGCGCCGCCACGAGGAACACGCCCCAGTGGGTGTAGTAGGAACCGTCTCCATACCACACCCACAGAGACCCCGCCAGCCCCACACAGCAGCCCAGGGTGAAGGTGGCCTGTGGAGACACATATTTACTGCCTTTATATAATGCACATGTCTTACCTGTGTAAATATCCACTGTTCGTGGATAACTCTAGCATAACATACATTAATTATTATTATTATGGGGTCAGAGACTGTGCCTCTAATGTGCTCAAGGGATTTACATTTGTGGTGAATGAGTTACATACAACTGTCATTTGTGTAATACAGCCCTGCCTCATCCTGTGGATGAGGGGAAATGGGGGTGGTAATGATAGGGTGTCAGTCGCGGCCTACGCTTGAGTGCTCACATAAGTGATGGTTGAGTGACCTTGAGAGTGCGTGCAGGGCAGGTGTCGATGTGGGCAAGAGTGAGCGAGTGTATAGGAGTGGTGGTACATACGCGCGTGTGTCTGTACTCGCCTAGTTGTGCTTGCGGAGGGGGGTTACTCACCTAGTTGTGCTTGCGGGGGGGGGGTACTCACCTAGTTGTGCTTGCGGGGGGTACTCACCTAGTTGTGCTTGCGGGGGGGGTGTACTCACCTAGTTGTGCTTGCGGGGGTGGGGGGGAAAGGCCGTTTTTATGTTGGCCAACCTGGCATATGCCGCTGATGTTATCCTCTTGATATGGGCTTCACGGGACAGGTCTGGCGTGATATCAACCCCCAAGTCTTTCTCTCTCTCGTGTGTGTGTGTGTGTGTGTGTGTGTGTGTGTGTGTGTGTGTGTGTGTGTGTACTCATCTAGTTGTACTCACCTAGTTGTGCTTGCGGGGGTTGAGCTCTGGCTCTTTGGTCCAAAGTGTGTATGTGTGTGTGTGTGTGTGTGTGTGTGTGTGTGTGTGTGTGTGTGTGTGTGTGTGTGTGTGTGTGTGTGTGTACTCACCTAGTTCTCACCTAGTTGTGTTTGCGGGGGTTGAGCTCTGGCTCTTTGGTCCCGCCTCTCAACCGTCAATCAACAGGTGTACAGATTCCTGAGCCTATCGGGCTCTGTCATATCTACACTTGAAACTGTATATGGAGTCAGCCTCCACCACATCACCCCCTAATGCATTCCATTTGTCAACCACTCTGACACTAAAAAAGTTCTTTCTAATATCTCTGTGGCTCATTTGGGCACTCAGTTTCCACCTGTGTCCCCTTGTGCGTGTTCCCCTTGTGTTAAATAGACTGTCTTTATCTACCCTATCAATTCCCTTCAGAATCTTGAATGTGGTGATCATGTCCCCCCTAACTCTTCTGTCTTCCAGCGAAGTGAGGTTTAATTCCCGTAGTCTCTCCTCGTAGCTCATACCTCTTAGCTCGGGTACTAGTCTGGTGGCAAACCTTTGAACCTTTTCCAGTTTAGTCTTATCCTTGACTAGATATGGACTCCATGCTGGGGCTGCATACTCCAGGATTGGCCTGACATATGTGGTATACAAAGTTCTGAATGATTCTTTACACAAATTTCTGAATGCCGTTCGTATGTTGGCCAGCCTGGCATATGCCGCTGATGTTATCCGCTTGATATGTGCTGCAGGAGACAGGTCTGGCGTGATATCAACCCCCAAGTCTTTTTCCTTCTCTGACTCCTGAAGAATTTCCTCTCCCAGATGATACCTTGTATCTGGCCTCCTGCTCCCTACACCTATCTTCATTACATTACATTTGGTTGGGTTAAACTCTAACAACCATTTGTTCGACCATTCCTTCAGCTTGTCTAGGTCTTCTTGAAGCCTCAAACAGTCCTCTTCTGTTTTAATCCTTCTCATAATTTTAGCATCGTCCGCAAACATTGAGAGAAATGAATCGATACCCTCCGGGAGATCATTTACATATATCAGAAACAAGATAGGACCGAGTACAGCACGTACAAGTAGGTACACATGCACTCGCTTTCCTGCCAGAAAAAAATATTATATTTGTTTTATCGTCTAATAAGAACAAAATTGCTAGTAATTCTAATTCAAACATAACCCTTTCTTTCTGAATTTACTACATCAAGCTCTATTACCCACGTAATCACTAACAACAAGTTATAATATACAAAGTAACTTATACTGTTTGAATTATTTATGAACCTTCTAACTAATTTAAAGTCACTTATGCACCCCCATATCCCATCCTGTGAGCGGTAGTGCATCCCATACCCATCCCGAGGGCAAGATGTATCTGATGTGTGCCTATCGCGTTTCTCTTAAAAAAATGATTGTGATGATTCATATTTTAACATGTATAATAATATAATATACGCGTAAGGATATTACAGTAATAACACTATGTGGCGATGGTTCACTACTGAACGCTGTAGGACATGTTGGATGTGCTTTCTCTATAGGGTTTAACCCATTTTTAACGTGAATAGTTTTGAACTAGGCTATTGGAATAGTGTTTTTTTTTGGAGCTGGTCCGAGGATACAGTGAACAAGTGAGGGAGAAGAATGTGCTGTTGATTACGAGTAATCAATCAATCTCTCTCTCTCTCTCTCTCTCTCTCTCTCTCTCTCTCTCTCTCTCTCTCTCTCTCTCTCATTCTAAAGCCTTAATGGTGACGCATTAGTGAGACGAATGCGTTATGACCAAGAGGACTAGTCCATCAAGTGTGGCGAGGTGGTCCGTCCTACCCACTTCCCTCCCAAAGAAGAGATATAACCAGCCATGAAGTGCAGTACCCACCAAACTTCTCTTAACTCCCTTATGCCCCATCCCCCCAACCGAGAAATTCTTCAAATAAACAATTTATTGGGTGCATGACGTAATAAAACAGAGAACATTGACATATTCCTTATCAACTGATGTAAAGTCACCTCACCTTCCTTCCTATCTTCTTGTTGATCTCCTTCATAATGAGGGAGCCGACGAAGCCGGCCAGGTACATGGAGAAGGGCACGGTGGCCACGTAGCTCTCGCTCAAGAGTAAGGTGTCCTGCACGTACAGCGGGATGTATACCTGCAACCACGACGGCACGTTACTCCCATCACCCTACAATACGTCTATCCCACCATACGTCTACATTATAACACTTGATTGCACATATGTAATGGGTATTATTGATGCTTCATATAATGTTTATGGCCCCCACTTAATATTATAGGCTTCTAACTGGTCAATAATATAATTGAAGTTTTGCAAGATATTAATAATTATTTCCATCGGAACAAATATTGTTTTAGCAGCTAATTGTAGCTTATTTAGTTTTGGGCAAATTAGTATCGCTGCGTTCCTTGCTCACCCATAAGCAAACTCCCACAAACAGACTTTACCAAAGTTATCAACTCGACAAATTATAAGGTTTAGAATAACAGTTTAGTGGAGATAAGGATATAAGATGTTTTCATATAAATATTCAGGTGCCTCGCGGACAGATAATGATTACTGTCATTTTATTTCAGCATCAGTTTTTTGTACATATAATCATGAAATGAGTCACATTAAACTATATTTTGACGGCATAATTATAATGTTTTCAAAATCGGGATTCAGGAATTTGACGTAACATGGAATATAAAAAAAATATCCCTCTTCGTAGCTAAGTGTCGTGAAGAATGAAGTTAAAATAAAATAAATGCTGTAACTATCACAACTGTAAGATAAATGACAGGTTGGATAACAATAACCTCTCAAACAATTCGTACCAATCATGATACTTTTCAGACACTAGTTCTCTCTAGGGTAAAATATTGTTGCACAATAATACCCCATTTGAAACCTGGATAATCTGCTAGTCTCGAGAACGTGTAACGATATTTTACTGCTAGAATCTACTCGATAAAACATCTAAATTATTGAACCAATTAAAATTTATAAATTTGTATTCTATAGAGCACTGGCGATCGAGATGTATAATAATCTAAACACGGAAAATATTAGAGGGACTGGTTCCAAATCTGAACACAGCAATAACACCACACGAGACCAGGAGGTATGGCAGGATGTGCAGAATATCACCGTTGAAAAGCAGAAGTGCAATAGGTATGCCATAGATAACTAACAACATCAAGGGCCCAAGACTTTTCAATACTTTACCTTTACACGTAAGGAGCATAACTGGCCGACCTCTTACAGTGTTCAAGAGAGAATTTGATATACACCTCCAAAGGATACATGATCAATCAGGCTGTAACTCAAACGTCAGGCTGTGAGCAGCCGCGTCCAACAGCCTGGTTGACCAGTCCACAAATAAGGTCTAGACAGAGACCGGGTCCTGGGGACGTTGATCCACGGAATCATCGAAAGGTAACCTACTAGAGTTGACATACATGGCCATGTACTAACATACCTGGTAAAGGTTGACATAGAGGCGTGTGACCATGTAGAGGATGGCGACCTGATAGAATGGCAACTCCTTGAACCAGTCGAGTTTCCTCATGGCCTTCTTGATCTTGGCTTCATTCTCCTGGGCGGCCAGGATGACCTTTGTCTTGTGGGAGACGAAGACGGGCTCCCTCACCCCGACGTGGAACACCAGGGAGAACACCGCGCCCACCACGCAGCAGATGACTGCCACGTTCTGCCAACACCACAACACCTCCTATAGTGTATCTCTCACGCCTCAGTGTGTGTGTGTGTGTGGGTGTGTGTGGTGTGTGTGTGTGTGGCGTGTGTGTGCGTGTGTGTGTGTGTGTGTGTGTGTGTGTGTGTGTGTGTGTGTGTGTGTGTGTGTGTGTGTGTGTGGTGTGTGTGTGTGTGGTGTGTGTGTGTGTGTGTGTGTGTGTGTGTGTGTGTGTGTGTGTGTGTGTGTGTGTGTGTGTGTGTGTGTGTGTGTGTGTGTGTGTGTGTGTGTGTGTGTGTGTGTGTGTGTGTGTGTGTGTGTGTGTGTGTGTGTGTGTGTGTGTGTGTGTGTGTGTGTGTGTGTGTGTGTGTGTGTGTGTGTGTGTGTGTGTGTGTGTGTGTGTGTGTGTGTGTGTGGTGTGTGTGTGTGTGTGTGTGTGTGTGTGTGTGTGTGTGTGTGTGGTGTGTGTGTGTGTGTGTGTGTGTGTGTGTGTGTGTGTGTGTGTGTGTGTGTGTGTGTGTGTGTGTGTGTGTGGTGTGTGTGTGTGTGTGTGTGTGTGTGTGTGTGTGTGTGTGTGTGTGTGTGTGTGTGTGTGTGTGTGTGTGTGTGTGTGTGTGTGTGTGTGTGTGTGTGTGTGTGTGTGTGTGTGTGTGTGTGTGTGTGTGTGTGTGTGTGTGTGTGTGTGTGTGTGTGTGTGTGTGTGTGTGTGTGTGTGTGTGTGTGTGTGTGTGTGTGTGTGTGTGTGTGTGTGTGTGTGTGTGTGTGTGGTGTGTGTGTGTGTGTGTGTGTGGTGTGTGTGTGTGGTGTGTGTGTGTGTGTGTGTGTGTGTGTGTGTGTGTGTGTGTGTGTGTGTGTGTGTGTGTGTGTGTGTGTGTGTGTGTGTGTGTGTGTGTGTGTGTGTGTGTGTGTGTGTGTGGTGTGTGTGTGTGTGTGTGTGGTGTGTGTGTGTGTGTGTGTGTGTGTGTGTGTGTGTGTGTGTGTGGTGTGTGTGTGTGTGGTGTGGTGTGTGTGTGTGTGTGTGTGTGTGTGTGGGGTGTGTGTGTGGGGTGTGTGTGTGGGGTGTGTGGGGGGGTGTGTGTGTGTGTGTGTGTGGTGTGTGTGTGTGTGGTGTGTGTGTGTGTGGTGTGTGTGTGGTGTGTGTGTGTGTGTGTGTGTGTGTGTGTGTGTGTGTGTGTGTGTGTGTGTGTGTGTGTGTGTGTGTGTGTGTGTGTCGTGTGTGTGTGTGGGGTGTGTGTGTGGGGTGTGTGTGTGTGTACTCACCTAATTGTACTCACCTAATTGTGCTTGCGGGGGTTGAGCTCTGGCTCTTTGGTCCCGCCTCTCAACCGTCAATCAACTGGTGTACAGATTCCTGAGCCTATTGGGCTCTATCATATCTACATTTGAAACTGTGAATGGAGTCAGCCTCCACCACATCACTTCCTAATGCATTCCATTTGCTAACTACTCTGACACTGAAAAAGTTCTTTCTAACGTCTCTGTGGCTCATTTGGGTACTCAGCTTCCACCTGTGTCCCCTTGTTCGCGTCCCACCAGTGTTGAAAAGTTCGTCCTTGTTTACCCGGTCGATTCCCCTGAGGATTTTGTAGGTTGTGATCATGTCTCCCCTTACTCTTCTGTCTTCCAGTGTCACACACACACACACACTCAGTGTGTGTGTGTGTGTGTGTGTGTGTGTGTGTGTGTGTGTGTGTGTGTGTGTGTGTGTGGTGTGTGTGTGTGTGGTGTGTGTGTGTGTGGTGTGTGTGTGTGTGTGTGTGTGTGTGTGTGTGTGTGTGTGTGTGTGTGTGTGTGTGTGTGTGTGTGTGTGTGTGTGTGTGTGTGTGTGTGTGTGTGTGTGTGTGTGTGTGTGTGTGTGTGTGTGTGTGTGTGTGTGTGTGTGTGTGGGGTGTGTGTGTGTGTGTGTGTGTGTGTGGGGGGTGTGTGTGTGTGTGTGTGTGTGTGTGTGTGTGTGTGTGTGTGTGTGTGTGTGTGTGTGTGTGTGTGTGTGTATAATTACCTGAGTGTAGTTACAGGATGAAAGCTAAGCTCGTGGTGTCCCGTCTTCCCAGTACTCTTTGTTGTATAACACACTGAATATGTGTACTCACCTATTTGTGCTTGCGGGGGTTGAGCTCTGGCTCTTTGGTCCCGCCTCTCAACTGTCAATCAACTGGTGTACAGGTTCCTGAGCCTATTGGGCTCTACACTTAAAACTGTCTATGGAGTCAGCCTCCACCACATCACTGCCTAATGCATTCCATTTGTCAACCACTCTGACACTAAAAAATTCTTTCTAATATCTCTGTGGCTCATTTGGGCACTCAATTTCCACCTGTGTCCCCTAGTGCGTGTGCCCCCTGTGTTAAATAGCCTGTCTTTATCTACCCTATCAATTCCTTTGAGAATCTTGTACGTGGTGATTATGTCCCCCTAACTCTTCTGACTTCCAGCGACGAGAGGTTTAATTCCCGTAGTCTCTCTTCGTAGGTCATACCTGTGTGCGTGTGCGTGCGTGCGTGTGTGTGTGTGTGTGTGTGTGTGTGTGTGTGTGTGTGTGTGTGTGTGTGTGTGTGTGTGTGTGTGTGTGTGTGTCTTTGTCTGTCTCACGCTCTCATTGTGTGACTTTCTGCATCATTCTCACTCAAGAACATTATCGCTGTGTGTCTCTCACATATTCATGTCCCCAATGTCTCGATAATAACAGCGGGATCACTCTTGCCCGAGCAACACGTTTAGACTCGAGACTTGGATTCTAACTTCTAGAACAACATAACTGAGCACCGTCTCGGTGACGGCAGGTTCTTACTCTGAACTTGGTGGCGTCCTCGGGGCCGATGGTGTCAGTATTGTCTTGGTTGGAGCCAGGGACGATCTCCGTATATCCGTCCACGAGGTCGCTGCTGGAGGAGGGCTCGATGGTGGTGCTCATTGTGGAGTTGTTGCCGTTGGAGCTCGGGACGTTGGCGCTGGTGTTGAGGACCACGAAGGTGATGGCGAAGACGCTCAGGTTGGCCAGCACTGTGAAGGCGTACCTGACACACACCACCGGCAGGATTAGTCACGAACCCCGGACTCAGTAGCACCTACACGTGTCCTGTCCTGCAACACTACCCGTGTCCTGTCCTGCAACACTACCCGTGTCCTGTCCTGCAACACTACCCGTGTCCTGTCCTGCAACACACTATATGTGTCCTCACCTGGAACACACTATATGTGTCCTCACCTGGAACACACTACCTGTGTCCTGTACTGGAGCACACTATATGTGTCCTCATCTGGAACACTACCTGTGTCATGTACTGTAACACAATGTGTCCTCTCCTGTAACATTACCTGTGTCTTTTACTAGAAGACGCTATGTGTCCTGTCCTGGGCCACTAGCTGTACAGTGTGTGGGTGTTGTACACCAACGACGTGGAGGATGACTGTGGCCCGAGGCGGCGCTGTAGGGTCAGGTGGGGTGTTTGATAGGGTTCTTATGTGTCTTAGGGAGTCGGCTCGCTCTTGGAGGGGTGTTTGGTGGAGAGAGCAGGAGGGTCACTTTAGGTATTGGGGGAAGGGGTTGGAACGTCTCTTTTTAACTATTGAGGTTAAGGGTTGGGATCATCTGTTGCCGGTATTGTATAGGCGGTAAGGTCGGCCCGGAGTGGGTTAGTGCCATGTTTTATCATTCTCTCATTCTCACTCACTCTCACTCACTCACTCACTCTCCCTGTGGGTCATGGTGGTGGAGGTATTACAGATAACTTGACTAACCTGATAGAATTGAGTTCTGTTCTCTGGTGTTTTTTGTAGGTGAGATCAGGAATGAGCGCCAGGTGGGAGATTTGCACACTCGCCCAGCCAAACTGGAAGATACAGACGAAGACGCAGTAGTATGCAAATTGCGCCCACATGTCCGCCTCCTGGCATCCCAAGCAACTGTTGTAGATGAAAGGGAAGCTCACGAACACCAACACTGTGCCTGCAGGGAGGAAGGAATCTGTAGAATGTAGGAGTCTGTAGAATTGCAAAATTTTGTTCTAATAGAATGGATGATAAGCAGTGAGGGGTTGGGGATCTCTGGCCTCGTCCAACGTAGGTGTATCTGTGCAGCCTCCTCTACCCCTGGCACCCTCCATACAGGTATTCCTACCCTCAGTCATGTCAACACTAATGACCTGCTCAATCTTGGATAATCTACAGTTACTGTCTTGGCTTTACAGTTACAGAAGGCTTTGCACCTTCTTTTGATAATTACTTACAATTCTACTCTAATGTTTTTCGGTAATTATATATAGTAATTGATGCATCAATTTCCTTATTTTAAACTGTGTGTTTGTCGAGACATTTAGCCGTGTGGCTGTGTACTCTTCAACCAGCAGGAACCGTAAGAATGCAAAAAAAAAAAAAAGTGCAAATATATATTTTTCCTAAGGCTGTCAAATTTTAAATGTCAGTTCTTAATTAATGCGCTAAAGGTGATCCGGAACAGTTCCCGTTTGCCCCAAACGGCTAACGGGAACCGCTCGTCAGGGATTCCCTGGGGTAAGGAACTGCCGTTCGGTAGTTATCGAATTGCCCTAGGACAGGGGACGGCTCTAGTTCGCCCGGCACAGCCATCCTCCTGAAATGATAGTACTTACAGGATCTATAAGGTCATAGCGGCTCTATATACCTTGACGTATCCAGTACTTTAACCACTAGACCACAGTGACTGACGCTAGGCAAGCGTCTTACCACTACGCTACGGGGACTGCAATAGTTTGACAATTATAGTGCACGTATACATAGGCGAGAGATTTGCAGGGTATCTCAGAATTATAGGCTGGGTTCAGGAATTACTGAAGGCAAGCTACGGACTCATATTGGTCAGGTTTGGGGCAAGAGAGCATTGTAACATTTCTCGTCTGTTCGACACTTTCTGTGTTTGGGCGAGAAGCTCCATTTGTTCTTATTATTTTTGTCTTCTTAAATAAGTTTAAGCGGGTTGGTTAATCCTCAACGAAAAATGTAGTATATACTGTATTTATAAACATACATATAAGAGGTCGATAGCAAGGTTGGTGTCTCTAAATTCCTTACGTTCTCAACAATTATCTTATCTCTGGCAACCATTCGTCAAACACCTCTCCATAACAACAGCTGTACGTTTCCATTCCTATTTTATCATTAAGTTACATATTTTCGGTAAGAATTATATTAACGATTTCTTGGTTAGTAATTAAAAAAAACTAATAAATGCACTTGAAATACTTTTTTTTATCTTGACGGAGAGTGCGACAAAAACGTGTTGGTTGGTGCCTCGGGTCGCCTGAGGCCCTCAGCATCTCAAGGAACCTTGAGGTTTGTTTATGTTGCATTCATATGGTACTCTAGCTAGCCTAGCAGGCAGCCGAAGCAAGAATCTGTGGGTTATAGTGTACAGGAATGTTGACACTTGGTTAGGAGGGGACCCGGTGAGTGCCTTGTGGGGGGAAACGAACTTGAAGAGAAACATTGGAGACTGATCACGGGATCTGGCAGGTGTGTGCTTGATGGCCGGATATTACGCATTGTGTGCCAACCTGTACACCCAGACACGCCCGTCCTCTCCAGCTCCCTCCCTCAGGAGACTTGCTGCACCCTTACGCACGCACACACCATCCTTACCACACGCACACACCATCCTTACCACACACACACACACACACACACACACCACATAATAGTGCCAACCAGATTCGAAAATCCCCTGTCGCACAAGAAATAGAATAATGGACCGCCGAAGAAAAAAAGGGCCGAGATAAGTTCCTTTGAAAAGATATAAACAAAAACATACAAGGAAAACCCAATGGCATTACAGAAGAAGGAAAATAACATCAGAAATGCTCAAGCAGGCACGAATATCTGCACACACACACACACACACACACTAATCTAAAGAGGGAGACTGAAGTAAGAGAACACAAGGTGTCATACCAGGTGGAATAAATGCAAATGGATAGAAAGTTAAACAAGAGATACAAATCTTCACATAAAACAAAAAGAAAGCATCAGTATTTGATCTATTATTACAAAGGAAGGTTCTTACAGAGGCTGGCGAACAAATTTGTAAAATCCTGAATTAACAAATATAAAGTTGTTTGTTTAGTGAGATCCTGACACCTTCTTCATGAACGATATCCTCGGCATCTCAGACATACTCACATAAGCACAGCAGCAGCAGCGTGTACAATCAACAAGAAGCCTATGCACTATTCTAACATAAGCACAACAGCAGCGTGTGCTTATGTTAGCACAATCAACAGGAAGCCTAATGCACTCTGCCTAGTCCTCACTTCTGAAGCTCTATATTTGCAAAGAATTACGAAGAGTCAGCAGGACGAGCGGGAAATGTAGCGTGGGAATATGCTGAGATTCTGGCCATAAACTATGAGATGCTAAAGGAATAATAAACAACTATAGACAGGTCAAACTAACATCACATAAAGGCTTTTGAGTCGGAAATGATTTGAGACCCGCACCATATCTGTGGAGGTTCATATATATGTAACTTGCTCAGCTAGGGGATTGTCCATATCAAACCCCCAAGTTATTAAATATTAATTATGCTTGGCTGCATGTCATTTCCCCCCTGGCCCCTGTTAGGTGGGGGGGGATGGTGCTCCTCCACCACAACACCGACGCTCTGAACGGGGCGGATATAGTGAGAGAGGAGAGACGTTGTTGTTGTTAAAGATTCGCTACCTGGAACAAAATGTTCCAAGTAACACGGGCTATGGTGAGCCCGTAGAGGAGAGACGGGAGGTTTAAGATTAAGTAGAGATAATATTTACTCAGATTCTGTCATGTTCTTGTGTTATGATTCATATTCATGTGATATCATATATGTTCTTCTGATATTCCTGTGATATCATGTTCTTGTGATATCATTTTCTTGTGAATTAGATATTCAAATTTTGTACTATTCACTTTATAAGTTCGAAAAAATTAAGCTAAAAAACAAACTTAAATATTCCTAGGCCTAGTATAGCACACGTATACTATATTAGGCCTCAAATAGCGTGGATTAGGCCTAGGAAGGTTAGGTTAAGTTAGGGTAGTTGGTCTTTGCAACATAAATAGAAAATCTTTTCCGGTCTGTCCAAATTCAATGTCCAATTTCTGCTTTCAAATTGCGTTGAAAGTCGATATATGTACTATGGTCCTTATCGTCACTATAAATATTATCAAAACAGGAGGATGGGTCTGTGATATCATGTCCTTGTGATATCATGGTCTTGTGCTATCATGTTCTTGTGCTATCATACTCTTGTGCTATCATGTTCTTGTGCTATCATAATTTTGTTATATCATGCTCTTGTGGTATTATGTTCTTGTGATATCATATTTTTGTTATATCATGCTCTTGTGGTATTATGTTCTTGTGATATCATATTTTTGTGATATCATATTCTTGTGTTATTATGCTCGTGTAATATCATGTTCTTGTGCTATCATGTTCTTGTGCTCTCATGATCTTGTGCTCTCATGATCTTGTGCTACCATGTTCTTGTGATATCACTATGACTTAACTAGAATCGGCCCGTTTAATTTCAACCAACGTCACTGCAATTTACGAACTACCAGATTCACGTAGCAGTTACGCAAGTACTTACGAACGAGTACATCTTTTCTCAATCTTTGGCGGCTTTGTTTACAATTATTAAACAGTTAATGAGCACCGAAGCACCAGGAGACTGTTTATAACAATAACAACAGTTGATTGGGAAGTTTTCATGCTTGTAAACTGTTTAATAAATGTAACCAAAGCCGTCAAAGATTGAAGAAAGATGTACACGTTCGTAAGTGCTTGCGTAACTGCTTCGTGAATCTAGCCCCTCTGCCAGATGTAAAGCTTTTGAGACTGATGTTTCCAACACCCCGAAGTGACTAACTACTGGTCGATATAGTTCACTTTATTATGTACAAAAGGCGAAGTAATTGACCATGAAGTAATAACCAATAAAGTGAGGACCGAGGCATAGTGATCAGGATCTGCGGGTTGGTACAAGAATTCAACCAACTACGTACCACTTAGTTTGATGAAAGGGAGCAGTAGAATAACAGAAGTACACTAACATCGCATCAGTCGTGGATACGCATGTGCATGGGAAATAGGCTTACAGGTCCCGAAAGATGGGAGGAAATGTCAGCACTGTGGAGAAATGCCCGACAGACCACTCGAACATTATCTAACACAGTGTACAGTTACAAACCCATTAGGAATTCAACTTAGATTCAACAGAGCAGAAGTTGTTAAACACATGGGGTAAAATCTTACTGAAGCGACCATACGAGTCATAAATACTCATACTCCGCCCAAGTAAAGCAGAAACAAGCAACACTTAGTGGGCCAGCCAGAGACTTAGGGCCCGCGCAGGAATATCCCTGACCTCCCCCCCCCCTCCTCCCCCCTCTCCTCCCCCCTCACCTCTCCCCCCTCTCCTCCCCCCCCCAAAAAAAAAAAATCAACTCAGACAAACCCAAAAATACGAATCACAGTTTTCACTCATCATTTGACAAAGCGACCACAATCAGCAAAAATAATGTCCTAGCAAGATACACAGAAACAACTACACGAGATAAAGCTGACCACTGGGCAACAGAAAACAGGTTCTCGACAGTGGTAAATTCCGGCAACTTAGATACGGCGGAAAATGATGAACTGACACCGGATACAGGCTGCAAGGTGCAATCAGACCTCATCACACGAAAACGACATGTAAGAAATCTGGGAATAATGATGTCGGACGCCCCAATAATTAGTGGGCAGAATAAAACAAACGCGCCATCAGCCAGAACAATGACCGTGGATATGAGAACTTTCAAATCCAGGAATTACATTACAATGTTCAAATCACTTGTGCTGTTCCGCCTTGAGTTCTACTCGGTACTCATTTCTCCATTCATAGCAAAGATTTTAGAGCTAGAAGTATTTCCGAGAACATATACGGCACGCATAGACTCGACAAAGCACCTAAATTATTGGAACCATCTGGAAGCACTTAAAATGCACTTTCTCTGAAAAGATGAGAGGTATCACGTAACATATACATGGAAGATACTGGAAGTTCAGGTCCCAAATATGCACAAAAAAGTAACATACTGGAGTGAAAGATATGGCAGGAAATGCAAAACAGACTCCAAACACAGTCTCAAGTGTAAATATAATAGAGCCCAAAAGGCTCAGGAACGTGTACATCAATTGATTGACAGTTGAAAGGCGGGACCAAAGAGCCAGAGATCAACCCCTGCAACACAACTAGGCGAGTACACACCCTAGCAGGAGTGTGTGGCCGTCCAGGGTGAAGGTGGAGGAGGGAGAGGCAGCGACTTGTTCTCCCCAGCAGGCAGGTGGGACTGGTCGTGACCCCGGCAAGGTGGCCACCACCCCTACCCCCACCACCATCCCTACAACCACCATCACCACCACCACCACCCCCACTACCACCACCCTATCAGCATCACCACCACTACCACCACCACCTCCTCAAGCAACACCACCACCACCCCAACCACCACCACCCTATCAGCATCACCACCACTACCACCACCCCCTCAAGCAACACCACCACCATCCCAACCACCACAAGCATCACCACCACCACTATCACCACCACCACAACGACGACGACAACCACCACGACCACCATCACCACCACAACGACGACCACCATCACCACCACAACGACGACCACCACCACCAATTCCAGCTTCCACTTCCCCAATGACTCGCCCAACTGCTTCCACTCTCTATTTCGTGCCATAGGTCTCATTCGTTTTCATTTATCGTTGCCCATTGTTTCATCTTCCCGTCGTGAGGTGGACATCCAAAGCTTGGCACAACAGCCTTCACCCCCCCCCCCCCACCCGCCTACATCACTGGCACCACCAGGGTCTCAGTGCCACACCCGCCTATACCTTTAGTGCCTTACCATCTTTATTGACACTCCCGGTTCCAGTACCAGCCCCTTGATGTTTATTGGCACTACCCAACTGTGGGTTCCAGTACCCCTTCCAGTGCCGTCCAAACAACCATTGGGCTCCACTACGTCTCTCTGCAAGTGGCCCATCCTACCCTGTCTGCTCGGATATATTATCACACAGACTGTTGAATTAAGTATACTCTTCATTCCTCAATATTGTGGGAGTATACTCCTCATTTCTCAGTGTTGTGGGGAGTATACTCTTTATTCCAGTGTTATGGGGAGTATGTCAGTAGATCTCAACAGGAAATAAGCATTATTTTGAAATTTGCCTATAGTGAAATTCTGCTTATTATACTGCCTGCAGCTGTAGGGAACACTGTACACTGCGTCAGTATTATGTGGGAGATTATTATGCTGCCTGCAGCTGTAGGGAACACTGTACACTATGTCAGTATTATGTGGGAGATTATTATGCTGCCTGCAGCTGTAGGGAACACTGTACACTATGTCAGTGTTATGTGGGAGATTATTATGCTGCCTGCAGCTGTAGGGAACACTGTACACTATGTCAGTATTAGGCTAAGCTGCAGTTCTCTCGCGTTCTCTTCACGAATAAAGTTCACATTCTTCTTTAGAAATGCTTGTAAAAGCAGGCGAGGGACGGGATGGTGTGGCAAAGGTGTGGCCAGCTCTCACCAACATACTCACGCCTCTGCACCAAGACAACAGGCCGTAACACCTTCAACGCTCACATATAAACACGACACATCCACAGCCGAGCAACAAGTGAGACAGACAGACGCCTTACCTATCAAGTGCCACACTTTCCGGCGTCCGTATCTGGCGCAGACGGGGAGTTTGTTTTCCTTGTCGGAGAATATGCCCACGAGCGGGGTGCTGATGCCGTCAGCGATCTGCCCCACCAGGAGCACCAGCCCCGCCATGGTCGGGCTGAACAACAGTACCTGCAGACATCACAACATTCAGAATTCCATTTATCAGTAGTCACTCTCATTTCATATTCGAATATTGCACTGATCGTTGGTGTAGAGGGCGCGACTTACCTTCTCGTAGTACATGAGGAGGTATGTGAACCACATGGAGGCGCACAGGTCATTGAAAACGTGACCCACGCCATAGCTCAGTTTAGTTATCCACGGCAGAGATTGCTTATCCATTGTGCTTGGTGTCGGCCCTGGCCGGGTGCCTGGAAGGTCAACGGGTGGCACGCACGCCTCTCGCAGGGGATGCTGGCGTGGATATTGTCAGCCCCCCGAGGTAGTCAGTGGGCAGAGTCTGCCACCAGCAGGAGCGGGGCGCCCTATGTGTTGCCAGTCGTCAGCAGCAATTGGACCAGCAGCTGCGTGTGGAGTGGTGGCTGCCGGAAGAGTGCCGGGAGGCGCGGAAGGCAGGAGCAGGAGTCTAGGCGAGCCGTCCAGCTGGTCCCAGGGCAGCAGCGACTACCACACTCTGCAAGGATATGCTGGTTATATACCTCTCACATAACCCACTCGCCTTCCTTGAATGCCAAGACAGTAATGTGCCACATTCGCCACGATATTGTACAAGCACTTCACTAGAACCAATTTTGTTCTCACTTAGCAGAGAGTGGCTCATATAAGTGGTGTGGGAACATGGATGGCGGTATGTGGGAGCATGGGGAGTATTGTGTGGGAGCATGGGGAGTATTGTGTGGGAGCATGGGGAGTATTGTGTGGGAGCATGGGGAGTATTGTGTGGAAGCATGGGGAGTATTGTGTGGGAGCATGGGGAGTATTGTGTGGGAGCATGGGGAGTATTGTGTGGGAGCATGGGGAGTATTGTGTGGAAGCATGGGGAGTATTGTGTGGGAGCATAGGGAGTATTGTGTGGGAGCATGGGGAGTATTGTGTGGGAGCATGGGGAGTATTGTGTGGGAGCATGGGGAGTATTATGTGGGAACATGGGTAATAGTGTGTGGGAGCAGGGGCACAGTGGTGCCCCTTTGTCCTGGCACAGTGGTGCCCCTTTGTCCTGGCACAGTGGTGCCCCTTTGTCCTGGCACAGTGGTGCCCCTTTGTCCTGGCACAGTGGTGCCCCTTTGTCCTGGCACAGTGGTGCCCCTTTGTCCTGGCACAGTGGTGCCCCTTTGTCCTGGCACAGTGGTGCCCCTTTGTCCTGGCACAGTGGATTTCTCACAATTTCTCTTGGTGATTTCGACAGCCCTTTTATCTTAACCTGTATGTAGACATGTTCTTCTCTCCTCCATGGACAGAGTTAGAGATCTGTTTATGAATGATAACAGAAATATGAGAATCATCAGGAGAAAACGCTAAGCCAGTATGACTATAGCACATGGAAGGAGAGGTAAACTCCGTCAGTGGAAGGAGTGAGTTTCCTGTAGAGTATCCGGTTCTCACAAGGGTCGAGCCATGACACTACGGACGAGGCTACTGTCACCCCCCCCCCTATTGCTCTCCTCTTGTTATGTTCCTCTAACATCTCCCCTCTCCATCCCCTCCCTCTTCTATAATCAGGTATCCTTAAAATTGTAATTCTCATCATTCTAGTTTTACACTAGATGTTATGCCTATGTAAGTCTCACCGCTCTAAGCTTTTACCTGTTGTATAGCACGACAGCACAACTGTAATTATCTCTGTAAAGAGTTTTTGGATAGATTGCCGAAATCTATAAATGTCCATTTCCTAGTGTGTGTGTGTGTGTGTGTGGCCACCTCTACCCCTTTACATCCTCTTCGCACCCTGGGCATGTGTTGGCCGTGAAGTCCGCCACATGTCACTGTACTGTGAGGACCTAGCCGGAGACTGCTGCCTCACTGTGCATCTGCCTGGCCTGCAGCGCCTCCCTCAGGTTCCCCCCCCCCTCCCCTCCCGCCCTGCCCTCCTCCTCCTTCCCTCCCGCCCATAGCTACAGGTCCAACCCGTCCTCCTAATACCATGTCGCAGTTTGACGTATAATTTACCTAATGCCAAAAACTGTCGTACTAGAAAATGGCAGCGGCTTCCGAAATTGACATAATGACTCGTTTTCTTTTCGTGGGCCCTCTGGTAGGTTAGGATAAGGCATTTTAGTACGGCAGTTTCTTGTCGTTGGGAACGCTGGCGAGAGCGGACTGGCAGAACCCGTGGTTAAATGCCTGCTGTCGCCTAGCGAGATGTCAACCGAGTGCAACTATCCCCACGACCTGTGCTGGGCGGTGGACCACTGACCCCAGAACATAACATGACTATGTAGGTCGAGCCAGACCTCACTGCCCCGTAGTCACTCTTAGGTAACCATTGTTAGGTAAACACATAATGGACTCACGAACTAAACCTCTATACATGTTTAGCTAATTCAAGTTACACCATTTTTTAACTAGTGTTGAAGAGTTTAAAACATTAATCAACAGTCTATTTACAGGTCGGGTTAGTTCAGATGATCACAAGGTCACAGTCACTCAATGAATACGATATGTCGTTATCTTCACGTCAACCTCACAATAGCATCGGCCCAATACTTACGGTTACAAGAAATAGCACTGATTGACCTTTCCATTTTAACAAAAGCAATCTCGCACTTAAATACGTCCAAGGATCCTTCAAGTTTAATTCATAAGAACTCAGGAATTAAGGAAACTTGGCTAATACGAGGCAGCTCGCATTTACATCCACCCAAACTCCTATTTACATCCACCCAACCTGCCATTATATCCACCCAAACTCCCATTTATATCCACCCAATTCTTCAGCGGAAGGATACATTCCCATTTGAAACTGGACACGTCCACTGTAAATATAGTCACTGGGAACTGAGAGTGAAATTGAGCCGGCTAATAACAGCAAACTCACACTAAGAACAGCAAAGCTAAACCGGTACTTGGACAACCTGAAATAACAACGTTCGTTGCAGCAGCTCCAGTGTGACGTGGGAAGTCAGTGTCCGTACAGCAGGTTGTGTTAAAATATGCTGTTAGGGTAAGTTTTTGCATGTTATTTTGTGTCAGGTTAGAGTAGGTTAAGGTAGGTCGGATCATTGCAGAGAAGCAGCGTTAGCTAACTGCCTAGTTCAGGGAGTAGTTAAATTGGTGTCAGCGCCAGCCTGCGCCATTCAGGAATTACTGATTTAAGAAATCATAATATTCTTATTATATACTGGACCAAATCCCGGTGCCACAGGTAGATTCATACCCTTCTGGGTATCAAGGTCGAATTCCGGGCAGGGCGAGATGTTGAGTTGCAATAAATAGCCCTCTTTGACCCTGGCCGGGTCAAAGAGTTCTTAGTGATATATGGCTTGCGCGTTCATGCAGCTTTCTCACACATGTTAGACTCAGTGCGGCCCGTGCATGCGCCAGAATTTGATGAAAAACTGTACCCAAATGGATCCATGAGTGTCGTCGGGGATTGGTCAGTCAGGGAGCTTAGTTAATAAGCGCCAAGACTGACCAATCCTTATAGACGATCATTGGTGCGGTGGTCACGGTACTGTGTACGTTTAGGGGTGATCCTGGACAGCATGGGTTCGAATCCTGGCCGGGTCAAAGAGTTCTTAGTGATATATGGCTTGCGCGTTCATGCAGCTTTCTCACATATATATATATATATCTCATATATATATATATATATATATATATATATATATATATATATATATATATATATATATATATATATATACATATAAGCAATGATCACCATTTTAAAACTTAAATGAATAGATGGGTATGAAAATAATGGTCTAACCAGGCAATTAGCTATGTTAGGTCTAACCAGGCAATCAGCTATGTTACTACACAATAAACAGGTACCAAAGACTATCTCATAACATGTCCACCCCAGCCAGCCTCAGCCCCGCGACTAACGTGGCGGGGCCGCGGGAGCAAGCATGGCAAAAGCGCCTACAAGTTACCAACTACGAACCACATGAAATCTTTAGATACTCTGCTATCTAAGAGTAATAGTTAAGAATAAAATTATCACTATACTAATATGCACATAACACTGCTTAGGTGTAATTAAGAAATTAGGTGCATACAAGAAACTGGAATAATTACAGGGGTAAATCAGTGAGGCTGGGTTGATACACTGCTCGCAGTAATGGAACATCCCAAATATGGTCATCCCCCCCCATGAGACGCCACGGTCTCCCCCCCCCCCCACAGGAATGAATTTGCAATAGCATTAGCAAAATATTACATAAAGGCAAACACATGGATATAATGATTAAATAATGGAAAAACAAATGATTAATGGTTATATAATGGAAAACAAATGGATATAATGCTTAATTTTAAATAACTGTGGAAAGAAATAATGAACATACATGTTTATCATGATAAGTGTTAGAATCAAATATATAGATTCATAACAGGAGGCTTCAGATGAGCTGATGTAAGATAACAGCTGCTTGCTTACAAAAGGTCTTTATCAGACCTCAACGGAGATTATTACATTAACATTTACATCTGTCCTGTACACCTTATAATAACCATTAGTTACAGAGATTGTGCCATTTCAATAGCTATGTCTTTACAATTAAACATTATACATTAATGGTACGTCTTTACGCTAATACTTAGATGATTTAGCTATGGAAGTATTGTAGGGGTCATTGGAAAGCTGCTGTTTATTACTATTAGTCTTCACGCTACAATGTTTATTCTTTAATCTTGTCTGCCATTTATATTGGAAGCGAAACATGGATACAGAGCAAGGATTTTAGAAATTGTATCCTTAGTAATAAGGTGGTTTGCCGTTTAACGCAGCGTGAGTTTAGATTTATCTCTAAATGAGTCAATTTTATCACAGTCCAAGATATAATGCTCAAGTGTGTCCCTGTCTCTGTCCACACACTTTACACTTGACTTCATATAGATCTCTATATAAGCCGAACTGTCAGAGATACTTGTAGCCGTCTTATTCGAGCTGTGACTGTTGGTCTGGGGTATACCCACTGTGTTGGTCTGGGGTATACCCACTGTGTTGGTCTGGGGTATACCCACTGTGTTGGTCTGGGGTATACCCACTGTGTTGGTCTGAGGTATAACCACTGTGTTGGTCTGGGGTATACCCACTGTGTTGGTCTGGGGTATACCCACTGTGTTGGTCTGGGGTATAACCACTGTGTTGGTCTGGGGTATAACCACTGTGTTGGTCTGGGGTATAACCACTGTGTTGGTCTGGGGTATAACCACTGTGTTGGTCTGGGGTATACCCACTGTGTTGGTCTGGGGTATAACCACTGTGTTGGTCTGGGGTATAACCACTGTGTTGGTCTGGGGTATAACCACTGTGTTGGTCTGGGGTATAACCACTGTGTTGGTCTGGGGTATAACCACTGTGTTGGTCTGGGGTATAACCACTGTGTTGGTCTGGGGTATACGCACTGTGTTGGTCTGGGGTATACCCACTGTGTTGGTCTGGGGTATACCCACTGTGTTGGTCTGGGGTATAACCACTGTGTTGGTCTGGGGTATAACCACTGTGTT